TTCAATTTATCAAGCTAAGAATGAACTAATCACCTTGCTCAAAAAGTGATTTGTTTTTTTTTTTATATATAAAAAATCTACCATTGTCATTGTAAAATAATTGATTATTAAATAATTACATCACAAAAAATCTGGAAAATGAAATGAAAAGGTGCTAGTACTACATTGTATTGACCCGTGCTAATTTGTGAAATCGATAAACCAAGTAATAAATATGACAATAATGAGTTAATCTAATTGAACAATCTATCTTTATTTTTATCATTCTCTTATCCTCTTTTTGGTTAGACTTTAATCAAGTTTCAACTAATCTTGGGTTCCATTAAAAGACAGAGTCAAAATCTAAGAAATTAATAAATATTAAAAGATGAAACTAGAAAAATATTAACTTAAAAAAAAGAAGAGGCAAGCCCATGTGAATATCCTAAATCTAATTTAATCTCTAAACTTGCAATCCACGAGATTCTAGACTTGAATTTAATCAACAAGCTCATTTATTTACTAATTTAATGTTAAAAGATGAAATGTAAAAATAAAATTAATTAAACAAATTTTCAAACCAAAAAAAAATTGAAAAAAAGAAGAGGATCAAATCATACAAGAAAAATATTGTAGAAGGATGAAATCATAAAAAAAATTAATTCAAGAAATTTTCTAAAACAAAATAAATAAAAACAAAAGAATGGAGACAAAAAAACCAAAAAAACAAAGAAAGATAAAATTGAAAAACAATTCAAAATCTATAAACTATTTCATATGAAAAGAATAATAATCAAAATAATATGGATCAAATCTAAATAAAAATTCAAATTGTGGGGTTGGTTTGAAATTCTAAAATGTCATGCCCAAAACTTGAAACAAAAAGAGAAAAGAAAAGCTAAATTGTAGGTTAGAATGCAACATGGTCCAATGTGGAAGGGAAAAGCCTTTGAGACGAATCCAACCACATCAAACAAACCTGTCCACCTTGTAATCACTTGCACATGTTGCTTGAAAATAACGAAGCATTTGATGCGTTGATAATTGTTATGAACATGTTAATAATTTTTTATTATTTTTTTAATATTTTATATTTAGTAAAAGACTAAATTATACCTAAGACAACATAAATATAACAAAAAAAAAATTAGAGTGAAAAGACGAGACAACCCCTGCCAACAATTTATCCATTTTTGCTTTTTAAAGGCATAATTGCCTTTTCACTATTCAAATAAAAATAGAACAATGAAAATGACCGTGTTTGACTATTTTTTATTGTTTTTTATAAAAGTAGTTAAGTAATTTACTCGTGTAAAGAAATGTGAAAAAACTATCTCTAGATAATTTCATAATAATTAATGGACTATTATTTGCAAAAACCAAATTACTCCAAAAAACTACTTCATTGATTTTTTTTTTAAAGAAGAGTAAATACATAAATACATTATAATGGTGAATGGTCAATTCAATATATAACCATAATTTTTTCCCTTTCTTTTTTTGTTATTATTAGTGCTAGTTAATTGTAGGAAGAAAAATATAGTTTATTAATTAATTTCTCTTACAATAATAGCTCATCATAATTAGTCTATTAAATAGGTGACTTGCACTAAATTAAATTAATATAATTTATTAATTAATTATTGTAACAATAATAACTTAATATACGAGGCTATTCTTTCTCAATCCTGCCTTCTAATTTCAAACAACATTTTCATTATAAATCACATATTAATTAATAATTACTTTATTGTCTTCAAGTTGTCCAAACTATAAAAAATCACATATTAATTAATAATTACTTTATTGTCTTCAAGTTGTACAATCTATAAATTTTATACATTGAGTTATAACTAACAAATATACATTTCTTATTTGTTTTATCTAGTTTGTGTCTCTTTTTTTTTATATATATATTTGAGCATAACAAACATTATCAAATACCTTCAAGTAATTCGCGAATGACTTTCTCCCACTCTAAACTTCAAATAATGTGCTATCCTAAATGATCTTTGTAGGACGCCTATTAATGAAATAAACAATTATACATACTACTTCAACTTAAAAATGCTTAGGAAACTTCTATAAATATACCATATATTTCACCATCTTCATTATAATTTGATTTTTTTTTTTTTAAACTCTATTTTATTGGGATATATAGCCAATAATGAGATGCCTCTCAATACTTTCATCTTCATAAAACTTAAAAAACTTTCTTAAAATGTATTTTTTGCCCCTATCATTTGTTAAAACTTTTATATAATGACCACATTGTTTTTCAACAAGATATTTAATTTTTTTTTGAAAATAGTAGCAACTTCAGATTTTTACATTATAAAATACATCCATGTCATTTTACTATAATCATAAATAAATAATAAAAAATAGATGTTATGAGAATGGGATAGAATTTACATTAGACAATAAATATTAGTGTGCACCAACTCTAATACATTATTGGCTCTTCATGCTACTCCTTTTAGAAATGATTGTTGATAATATTTTCCGAGAGCACATCCTTTACAAGCATATTTCACCTATTAAATGAATGGAAGTCCTTATATCATGTTTTTTTGGTGAAGTAATTTGAGGCCACCAAAATTTAAGTGACCGAGTCTCCTATGCTATAACTTCGAATCATCAACCATATCCATCTTCAAAGTTATACCTTTTTCATATTTTAAGTCAATTGCAAAACACCTATTCACCATCTTCATCTTTATCCTAACTTGTCTCATTGGAGTTTTATCATAAATAGTGTAATATTAGCCTTCAACATTCAATGAATATCCATGCTTTATAAGCTGTTTAATACTCAACAAATTTTGATAAGCTTATGGCATATGCATTACTTTGCGAATATCTCTTTCTATTTTTTAGTTTCAACTCTAAAGGAACTTAAATCACTTGCACTCATAAATTCTCCATTCTTAGTCTTCACTCTAGTTTGCCTTTTTGTATCAATGTCATTGAATAGGTCATTATTTGGTTTCATGTGATTGTTACAAGCACCATTAATGAACCATTACCCATTCTTGTTTTCCATGCCACATTGAGTAGATTAAAACATGTTTCTATCACCTTTCTTATCTTTCATAACATTTGTTTGTTGATTAATCCTTACCCCATAATCTTTAGCTAAGTGAACAAACTCATTACAATTGAAACATTATCTTCCTTTTATACCAACAATATTTAGATTTATGTTCTAATCGCTTACAAGAATAACTCCTTATAGCATTACTATATTTAGTACCCAAAATTTATTCTTCCTCTCATGCTTTTATTTCTACTCATTTATCTACTTCCACCTTTATCATATCCTTCACATCTAAAGGATTCAACACATATTCTTATATAACTTATAGATCCCTTTTGTTGGTTTTGTTTATTAATAGTTGATTTGATTGAAAAACACTTTTTAATAACTTTTTATTTCTTTTCACTAATCTCTACTCATAAGATTTCAAAAAACTTAACAACTCATGAACACTCAAACAAGACAACTTTTGTTTCTTTTATAATCACTATAATAAGATCAAATTTATTCAGAATACTAATAAATAATTTATCTACAACTCTATCATTATTAATATCCTCACCACAACTTTTTATTTGATTAATAATCTTAATAATTTTATTACAAAACACATCTTTTCTCTGTTTCATATTCTCTAACTTTTTTCTAAGATTTTACAAGTTTATAGCTCTTTCCCTCACGTCACCTTTATATTCACTTTGCAAAGTCTTCCATACTTGCTTTGTATCTGTGGCTCTCATGTTCTTGAAAAAATAGGATCATTAACTCTTCTTTGAATTAACCCAAGAGCTACAATATCTCTACTTCTCTTTGCTTTCAAATCTTTAAATTGTGCTTAGGAATATTGTAGATATCTTCAAGTTCTTCATATTCTACCACCACCATCTCCCAAGAGATGAGTAAAGTTTTCATCTTTATGCTCCAAAACTATAGTTAATATTGAGGGTTTGACTGAACTCCAACTTGTGCTATCTTCTTTGGACATTTTCTTTCTTCTTTAAACTTGGAAAAAGCTTCTCTTTAACCTCTGCACTAATACCAATCTGTTGGGTTATAGTATAATTAGTTTCTACAGCTATTAACACTCGCAAAACATAGTCCAACATAACATATCATTGCTGTCATTTTCTTGTACAAAACTCGCCCAAGATAGGGGTTACAATATTCGAGAGAGTTCATACACGAGTTACTACTACTTTTCTTCTCTGTTTCTGCCTCACTTTTTGGCTGCTGCTTCTTCTTTCTCTCTCTCTCAATAAATTCAGCCAAATATAATTTTAAGTTAACCCTAGTAAACTACTCTACAACAGATTAACATTATCAGACATAGCTGAAAGTTGTAATTGACATCCTTTTTTTTTTTTTTTTTTTTTTTTTTTTTTTTTTTTTTTTTTTTTTTTTTTTTTTTTTTTTTTTTTTTTTTTTTTTTTTTTTTTTTAAATTCTGATATTGAATTAATGAAATCTTTTTACAGGGCGACAACTACTTTTTTCAATGAAGTTTGAGTATTTTGAACTGGGTTTGGCTCCTTATACTCCATGAAATAAAGACTTAAACTTAAAAGCATGATGAATAAAACTGTCAGTTCAAATGAATTTCGGATTTATTTTGGTATTGCTGGGAATATATACTTTTTGATGCACCTACATAAAATTGACACAAGCCAGGTAGTTTGAGGTAAGTTAGTGCATTTGGTTTCCAAACATAGTTTTAGATTCTATAAATTTACTTAACTAGCTCTATTCCTTAGCCTCTGGTTAAAGCAAACTGATTTGTATGACATAGTTTGGGATTTTTCTCTGTTCGTATGAATTATAGCTTTTCCATCTGAAATTATGAGTCTGATCTAGCAATCATAACAGAGATTCAATGGTTTATCCCATTTCCCAGTTACATCGATGCTTCGAGTTCAGCATGGCAAATAAGTTATCCAGAATTGATTTTTCTGTTTGGTAATGAAATCGGTGGTGGATCAGGAACTTGTGCGAAGAGGCATACTGGACTACATAATGCTGAATGCACCTGCAAGAATATACAACACTATTGACCTACTCATATGTAGATTAACCATCCATTTGCTTGTAATGAAATAAGTAAAATCTTCGCATTTCAACTTCAAGCTTCTGGTGCACTTTTACTCGAGGTTGCATGTTTCTGCAGGCCTATTGAACCCAATGCATCATCTGCTGCACAGGTTTTGTACTAGTCTATATCAGCGTAGGAAGTAGGATCCACAACATCAAGGACTCTTCATTCTCGGGACCTTTTCCACAAATGGTGTACATGATGGATCCAAGGGTTTTTATGGCTTTGTTCACTCCACTGCTTCAACATCTGATAAAACGAGCTTGCATTCATTCATGGAAAAAGGAAAATAAGCATATAGTTTGCCTGAAAAGTTCTTTAAAAACGACTTCGAGGGACTTGTATGACACAAGATATCTGCTTGGATCTAAACAGGTTGTTTTTCGATCCAGTTTTCAGCATTAATGAAAGACATGCTGGTTAATTCTTCCAAGGATTGAGGGCTTAGCTTATTTGCCCAGCTAACCCTCTTCGAAATCTCAGCTCCTGGCCCAAAGTTGCCATACTCAGCAAATGTTATTTGGTTCCTGCAAATTACGTGAACGTAAAAGCATTAATCAAACACATTTTTCAGTTACAGTAATCAAACTGGCCAAGTATGATTTGTGAGCTTAGAGAGCTTACTCATGGCCAACAAAGTTCCAAGCATTCCATCCTTCGGGATCTACAATATTTGAAAAATTTGACTTGTAAAATAAGACCCTAGAATCACCTCTCCATGGCCTTCCCAAGTAAACTGAAGATTTGCCAAATACATTGCACCCCTTGAACACAAACCCATTTGCATCACTTGGATTCGTTCTTCCTTGTGCTGTGATGAACCCTCCTTCAAGTACTTGTATGGAGCAACCCTACAAAATACGGAAAGGATACAGTAATTAAAAAAAAAACAATATAATTAAAAGGAATCCTCTATATATTGTTAAAGAAAATTATACCTCATAAATAGATTGGCCACTTCCAAAGATAAAATCAACAGCACCCTGAATGGTGCAACGCTTGAAGTAATGCCTGCCTGCCTCATCCCACAGTGTGTCTTGCACCCCTGCAAACCCACATTGGTAAAATGCAGTCTTGTCCCCGGTTATCATAGCAGCTACTGCTGGCAATCTTGGGTTGTTATCATGTAGAAAATTATAGGAGTTCTGCCAAAAAAAAAAATCAATAAATGGAACAAATCGGCATAATTTTTTTTGAAAACTTTAGGAGAACGAAAGCAAGATTTTCTCAATGCTTTACACAAAGGTTCCTTAGGGAACAAAAGAAAGTTTTCTATTTTACATGTAACAATAGTGAATAAGTTAAGATCAATGATCACTTACTACAAAGTTAATGCTTCTGACTACAATATTATCTGCTAAAGAAACAAAAGTGGGGCTCTGTGCTGTTGAAAAATGATCATCCCAAACAATCTTTGTCCTTCTTTTCCCCTCTCCTCTGAGAATGATATATGGTTTGTTGTAAGGGATCTTAACCTTCTCCCTACACAATACACAAAACAGTCAGGACACTAAAAGAAAAATCAGTGCTCATGCATGCATAAGAAAACCACCTGAGTGTCAGCAGATAACATTGAAAAAGAAGAGAAAAGGACATTACCTATATGTTCCAGCCCTTACGTGGATACAAACCCAGTTCTTATTGTCTGATGGAATTGAATCAATGGCAGATTGTATACTAGAAAAATTCCCATGGCCTGACTTATCAATAAGGAGTGTTCTGTAAGGCAGTGTCTTTCTGTGAGGATTAGACCCCTTAACATATTTTAGGAAGTTTTCATTGGCAAATCCTAATTGAAAACTGCACAGCCAGAGAGCAAAATATAAACATGAACACCGTGGAAGCAACATCTTGATAGAGAAAAGGGATGAGAAAACTTGAGTTAAGAAAATGACTAAACAAAGAAAAAAAAAAGTGCAGTGGAAATGAAATTGCAAGTTGTAACATAAATACTTGGCAATTCTTAAATAAGAAGGGATCAAAGTTTTAAAGATTTTGGAGAGGAAAAGGGAAAGCCAAGAGTTTTTTTATGGAATTAGAATCAGTTAATTGATCCTTAAAGATTATTCATATGGCAAACTTTTTTTATTTCCTTATTTATTCATTTTGATTGATACTCCTCAGCTCCCTCTGACCTTCTCCTTGGCATTCCAGAAGAAAATGACTAGAACATCCTAGTACTGGAAACTCCATTTTGCCATGAAGAAAAGCTTGACCGTTTGGAGTGGCGGGACTAAAATCTTTAGGTTGTCCATTTTCAGTTGCCCACATAGAAATTTAGATCAATAAAGGTCCAAAAGATGAGCACAGCTAATGTAGAATGATGAGGCAATAAAGAAATAAAATCGTGGAGCTTGTTTTAGAAACATGCTCAACATGCTCCATCACATGTTTAAGAAGTAACGAGAAAAACCCTACGGCTTCCATGAGAGGGGATGACATTTCCATGCCTACCCAAAAACCCTCCTCAAATTGAATGCGATCAGCTAGCTTACAGCTAGCAATATAGATTTCCTTCTTGTGAAGACTGAAGATTTGAATTTCACGAGTAAATGATGTTCAATCTTTTGTTTGAAGAATTATTCGTTAGCCAGATCATGGGCCCGAATTCCATTCCCACGGATATAGTGAGCATGGATTTGCCTAATTGGCATTTTAAACATGATTAAGGTCTGGTATTGCGAGGCAGTCCCTATTGATGATATAGGGACACAAACAGAAGGGGCAAGTAACAAGTGGGGACAGGTAAATTCATTAAACATCAATCATTAAAGACTGAAGGGGTGTTTCCATGCATGGATGGCATTTCTCATGATCAAGACTAGCCCACGTCGATGGGGTTAATCATGGCCTTTCAATTTGAGTTCAAGACAAGGACGGCTAACGGGAACAAAACTCGATCTGAGTTTACATGGTAATCCTTCTTCCACGTTCCGCTAGAAAATAGTTTCCAGTGCATGCTGTTAAGTGAATGCGGGAACTTCGAACCTTTTTTGTTATCAATTCCTGCTCTTGATTACTGACTTCTTGATTTCCCGTTGAAACACATTCAACATCCAAGAGCCAAACGGTCCATAAAATCTTCAGATATGCAGAACAGCAATGGGGATAAAGGAACGGTTCAAACTATTATATATCTAAACTGGAAACCCGAATAATGTTTGCAAGGAAACAATGATATAAATAGCATAAAGTTAATTCACTCAAACAGAAGTTGTCAAAACAGGAAACAGATTTAGATGCAAAAAAGGTATTCTCAGATCAGAGTTCCTCGTTCAATAGCAACCTTCTCTTCAAATTTCAATCAATATTTGAGTGGAGCAATAATTTCTTGCTGGGGACCTAGCTTCTCCTCAGCGGTCTTCTCAGCCTTAAGCCTCAGTTTTGCCAGCTGCTTCTTTCTCTCATAGACCAATTGTGCTCTTTCCTTTCTCTTCTTCTCCAGCTCCTGCAGGAAAGAACAAATCAGTAAAAGATGCCTCAGAAAATGCTCAATAAACAGTTTTTTTATTGACAATGGCAAATGATTGCCAGTAAAATCATGCCATATTATACAATAACTGATGGAAGACAACATCTAACGATGCAAATAGAAACACCAATAGTGGCAAATTGAATAATTGTCCAGTATATGCCACAATAGTAGTCATCACTAAGGCACCACATAATTTAAGAACAAAAAAGAAAAACAGGGGAAGAGATTCTAGTTCTTAATTAAATACAATTTAATGGATTTCTTAAATAGGCGACATCCAAGTAACTAAGCCATAAATAATAACATCACAAGCTGGCAGCAAAAGTGAAAAAGGAAGAAACTGGGTAGACAATTCATACCTTGATGGTATCATAGTGGTTCCATCCAACCTCGGATGAAAGCTGACCTAACAAGCAATACTTGTGTCCAGGCTGAAGCCTCAAAACCCTGATTCATCAAAAACATAGAAAGAATAAGCATTCAACTGCATTAACCAAACAAAACAAATTTCTTGCATAAATTCCTTCTAAAAAGACTCACTTGAGAGCATCAGGGATAACCATCCTCTTTGTCCTGTCATATGGAGGAGGAACACCCTCAAACACCTTCAAACGTGCAAGAGCAGCCTCTCCACGCTTGGTCTTGTGAGGAATCATCCTTCAAACCAAATAAATTTTAGATCACAGACAAAAAAATTACAGCATGGAGACTGAAAAGTTGTATCTTGGGACTACCAAAACCATTGCAGGAATTCAAAGAGGCATACAATCAAAACACAAAAAGAAAAATCAACAACCATTTAATTCTTGCACATTATGCATTTCCCCTATACATACAACCTCAACAACACAAACATATCATTTCAAACATTTAAAAAACATAACTAAACTTCGTCTACAGTATTCAGCATACAGTTCTTATTCCTCAACTGCACATACAAACTATTATTCCCTACATCTACACAACTGAATTATCTTTTGGTTTTCAATTTTAAAAAGAAAAACCTTCAGCAGCACAAGTGTAACTACAACAATAAACCCTGATATACAACAAATCTTAATGCCTTCAGGACCCTCAAGTGTTAAAGCTTAGAAATTTCAAAAATTAGCTAATAAGGATCAGCAATCTTTAAACTAAAGAATACATCTTTAAAGATGCTACCATTTCACAAATCAAAACATGAGTTATCCTCTTAACTATCCAAATATCACCTTTTGTTACTAACCAAACCAAAAAACCAACTTTCTGAACAACAAAACAAAAAACCAAATCATAAAAATCCAAACTTCATTAAATAAAACTCACCCTCTAATGGTACGCCAGAGAATCTTCGAAGGAGCCCTGAAGTGAATAGGACCATGAGAAGGTTTAGTGTTCGTGCGTTTCCTCAAGAACCTCAAGTACTTCATTTTCTGCCTCACTAACCCACCAGAGATGCAAATCTCTTCACACCTAACAACAACAACTCTTTGTCCATTTAGTAGTTCTTTAGCTATTATTGATGCAAGCCTGCCTAGCATATGATGCCTTGCATCAACAACAACTCTTTTTACACAGATCCCTGATCCAGACACCATTGTAGCTGTGCCTCTGCTTTCTCTGGCTAAGCGGCTGCTGTGAGGGAAGTGAAAGTCAAGAGAGAGGCTTTAGGGTTTGGGATTGTGATATATGGGGTTGCTTTTTTATGGGCTGCGGAGAGTTGGGCTTTTAGGTCTTGTTTTCGGATTGGGTTTAGAACTATATACAATATCGAGCATAATCCATGATGAATGATGTCATGCACCATTTGTTTTTAACCTGGCTTTGTAGGTTTTTTTAATTCCAGTACATACGAGTGTATATCAATTAAAAGTTTGATAATTAAATTTAATATAATCAATAAATAATATAATATTTTCAAATTTTTTATAATTTTTAAAAAGTATTTTCGCCCAAATTTTCTAGAAAAATACTTTTTTAGAAACTAAGCTAAATTTTTCTTTAACTGAAAAGTGTTTTCCGTTAACCAACTTTTCTAATAGTAAACAAACACATGAAAATTTAGAAAATAGTTTTTCAGAAACTAGAAAACAAACATAACCTTAATTATTAGCTTCATTTGGTATTTGTGATTAATACAAACTTATAGCTAAAACATGACTTATTCACTTGTTTTATATCATTTTTGTTGTTCTTTTCAATTATTATTTTCTTCTTGGGTTTGAGTAACCAAAATAACAACTCTTATTTTTTCTTTTAATAATTGGCTAACACCAAGAATATAAAGGATGGTTGGGGTATAGAAACCCACCATTTTGGTCAACGTATCAATTGATATTTCTATTTATAATTGGCTAACACCAAGAATATAAAGGATGGTTGGGGTATAGAAACCCACCATCTTGGTCAACATATCAATTGATATTTCTTTTATATGCTCATTGAAATAATAAGCAATAACCATCAAAGTGGATGAATGGGTATTTTTTTTTTTTTTTTTGCAAAGATAGTAAAAAATTATTTTATCTAAAATGTGATCAAAATTATTTTATCGAAACAACTTTTAAATAGCTAAAACTTTACAACTACTTCATGTTCACTAGCAAATATCTTAAAATGTTTGAATTTTCTATTAAAATGATGAGAAAGCATATTCTTAAGGAAAATAAATAGAGAAGAGGAAGAAGAAAGAGAAGCATAATGAAACTCATCTCATTTATTTTATGTTAATATCATATGAGAGGAAGTTCCATGACTTTAGATTTAGACTACAATTATTTAATAAAATATTTATAACTTAAATAATACTATTTTTTATAGCAATACTTTTAATTATAATAAAAATTAAAATATTTATAATACAAATGATACTATTTTTTATAATAATACTTTTAATTATAGAAAAAATTAAAATATTTAAAATCCTTCATAAAAACTCCATAGAATTGGGTCATGTAAGACTCTATAGAATTGGGTCACGCCAAACCTACTGAGTTGGGTATATGATGATGTATCCAAGATAATCGGATCCTACCTCAGACCTAAGATAATCGAGTCCTTTGTTATAATCCATAGGCCACGTGGCGGTTAGGCACACCCAATCCAAATGCCACCTAACACTTGGGTGGCTTCAATGTGAGGGGAAGACCCAAGCGCCACCTGATGTTTAGATTTTGAAAAAAAACCTGATTAGCTATTACATCCACATCACTATGTGACGCTCAGATTTGGACGTATTTGTACCTAACCACATATGTGTTTATATAGTAATGTGTGTTATAAATATTATTTTTTATCTTATAACTCAAAGTGTTCATATCAAAAATATTATTATTTGTGTTGTAATCATCCTTGAAATTCTTAATATAATTATTTATGTTATAAATATTATTATTATTATTAGTATGAATATTAAAAATAATATCATTTGTGT